GTGGTCATGTGACTCGCTGACGCAACACCATCATATCGCACGAATTATGGTAAACTTTTCACAAGTTCACTATTCGAGAGTGTTTTGTTTTGGACAGAGTTGAATGTTTTATAAAGTATAAAATTTAATGTTGTTTTAGTTAGATCAAAGAGATTAATTAAGTAAAGTTATTTTGGATAAAATTAACATCAGTTTTTCAGCTTTCCTCTCAGTCAGCAAGTACGTGTTTTGTCTTACACAGCCCAAAAGAAACGCCGTGTCACGGTTTTTAACAATAAATAACACATTCATCAAAAATCACTAAATATAGCAAACTGCACAACAACACATCTGTTTAATACTTCAGTATAAAAAAGCTAAGAAGAAGTCAAAATATTGAATTATATAAAACTGGAAGAAGGAAACTCTTTGTTACTCTTGATCTCGATTAGTTTATTGATCAAGATTTTTCATAAAGCAGTTACACACTCTCAGAGAAAGTGTTTATGTAGTTTAAGACTTTATCTCTAGAAAAAAAATTTGTTTGAGTTTTGTCACATGATATTCAAGTTCAATGATAGTCAACAGATACCTTAGTCTGAAGTTTCCGTAAGAACGCATATTTTAGAAACGTACTGCTAAGGAACATTTTCGAACTCAAACAGCAAAGAAAAGAAATATTTATATTTATGTAAATTTTTACTTATTGGCTGACTTCTTAATTGCTAAAGCCCAAGCTGGCCACTGTGGTTGGGGAAGTTACCCACACGTTCGCACAATACAAATAAACAATTTATTATGTTATACGGCGCTTTCCAAATTAGGCAAAAGGTTTAAGTGCGATATACCATAATCCTAAGCTGCATACTTCACCAGCTTTTCCAAATAACACATAGAGAAGAAAATCGTTATCTCATACAAATGTGTATAAGAATCTGTGGCACTCCTTAACATGCTCCCCGCCCCCTCTCCCAGGGAGTGAGCATACATTGAAAACCAAATTGATACAAGCATCTAGCCATTACTTTTGGATAAGTAAAAGGTTTAGCACATGCTTATTACATTTGGACACTCAGTTGAGGAGAAGCCATAAATACACGTAGAATATCTGAATGAAAATTAAGAAAAACTATCTAAATGTATCTGAATAAAGATATATTGTATATTAGTAATTGAAAGGTCAAATTCATAGCTGTTTCAGCTATAATAGACATACTATTTTAATTTATTATTCTTACATTTCATCTGTATATTTGCACTGGTCTGACATATTATGAGAGAAAATATTTCTGCTGTAATATATTGTTACGTCTCCATTTGTTAATTAATTTTCCTTAAATTCGTTCCGACGAAACTTTAGCGACACAAGTCCTTTCTTAAATAAAACTGGTTTATTCTTTCTGAATATAACTTTGCGATACACTTAATTTCGACAATCGCGCTATAACAAACGTCTCACCTGCTCGAGTTCAATTACACACTATCTGACTGCAGTTCAATTACTCAATACTACACTGTTCCCGTCACGTTATGACCATCTTATATATACCAGACTACCCCCAATCTAGTAAATGTTAGGGCATTCACGAAGGAACAGGATATTTCTAGAAAACGTGCCGTGACACTAGTTACGTGACCTCGCTGACGCAACAATATCAACTTTTTATTCTCAATATCTGTGGGATTTTAAATAAAATACTTTGATCTTGAGTACAATTCAAAAACAAAGCATGTAAAAGCGCATTAATAATTAAAAGTGTCAAGAATTACTGTTCGTTTTTCTCAAAAAACTTTATATTTCATCAACCTCTTCGTTTGTAAACTTACCAAGAGACTGTAGAGATAGCTCTCATACAACTTCTTAGTATGAGAACTTACTATATGTTTTCCATCCATTTAGTTAAAAGGTAAATTTTTATTGTATTATTTGTCATAGTTACTTTTCTGAACGCAGTGAGGCGCTCAATCAAGTTACTAAATTTAGTTAAGTTAGCCTGCTCAATGCAACATATAGTAGGACGTGTATTTTATTTTACTCTATCAGTCAAAAGTTTCATACATAATGAAAATTAATAATAATTGTTTTGTTGTTTTCTCTCTGCAAACGAATTCTCCCTTCCGTGAGACTAGCTGCTTGGGTTGGGATTGGCTGGTCACCAGATTCAATTCAACTGGGACTTCCGGTTTGCATGACATCACACGTCCTACTATATATTGCATTGCGCAGGCTAAACTTTTAGTTTAGTTTACTTTGCTCTTCACATTTTATTGTCTACAGTTACTCTCTCTTTACCTTTTTAAAATTACATACCTCGTCTGCATTAATTTCCTATTTTCTCAAGTTAAGCCCGTATTCCTAGACCACGAGCGGGGTGAAGGAGGATTGTTTAATCTTCGAGCACCCCAGATTAGTAATTATTCCGAAGAAATAATTATTTTTAAATCTAAATAACTGCCAGGAAAAACGAAAGGTCACCCTTTGTTCTGAAGAAGAATAGTCAACTATTCGAAAGCGCTCGAGTTTTGAATCTTATTTTAAGTCTATTACACTTTATATTGATCCTTTGTGCTAACTCTTTTATCAAGATAAATTTAGTCAAGCATACCTATGACTTTAGTTTTCTCAAACTGAGTCAAAGAGCAAATGGACTTAGCTTGAAAACTGCAAGTTGGTTGTTTTTCTTACAAGAATCATAAAGCAATTAGTTAACCATAGCTGTAGGCAGTCCTTAGTGTGCACATTTTTGAAACCATAGCTAACTGAGGTAACTAGTGCAAGTCATACATGCTTTTTTGTTGCTAACGAAAGGAGGTTTGTTAGCATATTTAAGGTTTTGTTTGAGTTGGAAAGCTCAGAATTGTGTGTGTTTTCAGTGTTTTGGTAATTTATTAATCAGAGGCTTTCTATGTTTTAATTAACTTCCACTTTTGCGAGAGCAATAATGCTCTCGCTTAGATTTTGTGTGTAGCTTAGAGTTAGACTGTGTGTAAGATTTAGATTTCAGGATGTTCTTAAATTTAGATAAGTGTTCAACAGAGACCTGTCGGTTTGGTAGAGTTTTCTTTCTTTTAACTTTTACTTTGTGTCGTTCAGCGAGAGATATTAAAGTTCTCACACAGTGTTACTTTCAAAGTTTCATTTAGAGTGAGTGCTCGCAAGGTTCTACAGTGTACTTAAGGATTTTGTTTATATTCACAGTATGCAAAAAGTATAGAGTTTGATTACTGTTGAATAGAAGAATTGATATTGTACTGTGTAGAGCTGGCTTCATATTTAGAGTGAAGTATTTATGGAAGTGATGTTAAGGTGAAGTAGTTGTAGTTAATTTGTTACAAGTAAAACTTATATTTCAAAGGATTTGACTAGACTCTGATGGATAGTGTTATGATGTAAATTAACTTGGAGTCAATTTCATGTATTATTTTTTGTGTTTTAGTATAATTTACAGGGGGGGTCACGCATAGTTAAAGAAGGTGTTCTTCAAAATTTTCATCAATGGCTCTATTAGTCAGAAAACATAACGAAAAGAAAAAACAACGAAAAATCAGTAATACGAACATATTAAAAAATGTATAATTTAAATGAAGACTGCATGTTCAGAGTTGGAGAGTGCTGTTTGTTGTGGAGGGTTTCTTTGATCAATAATTCCAGGTCAGTGTTAGATTTGCAGAGGACAGAGAAATTTGATAGTATATGTTGACGTCCTGTTTCTATCCTCTGCAAGTCTAACACTGACCTGGAATTATTGATCAAAGAAA